TTTAAATGCATATGCGTATATAGTAAGTTATATAGTTGGTTGTCTATAGCAGCGGGTTGTTAAATGAGATATTAGTATTTAATATCTTTTTCTTTTTCTTTTTCAAAAAAGCACCACCTATGGCTTCTGTTGTAACTATTACAGAAGCCATAGTGGTTAGCTGCAGCATCTGGTACTGTCTACAACAGAAGTCATAAGTATGTGGCTATGGAGTCTGTTGCACCTTGCAACAGTCATCATAAGTGCCAAAACATATGGTTTCTGTTCTTTCATAATAGAAGCCGTATGTGATATCTTTTACTATTGATGTTTCTTTCACGACAGCCCATGTATAGTAGCAAAAGGCTACTTTTAATGGACACCGTATGTGGTATCTTGGGCTAGTGCATTCTTTCACTATTTTTGAGAGTTTCTTGACTGGTAGTGACTCTTATCAGTTCTATCACTGTGCTGACCTTCCAGTTAGAAGAATCTAACTTTCTTTCTACTAACAAGTTTTTATGATCTCAGTTGCTCTAATCCAGATCTAGAGCATGAGCATTATATTGTGGATTATGATGAACAGAGGCACATTGAGGGCAACAAAATACGGATCATGCTCAGAACACATATCCCAAAAAGATTCCAAAATCCGTAGTGGATCCAGCAAGTTCGTGACTTTTCTACCAATGAGAAAAGGAAAGGACGCATGGAACAAACTCTTACCATTCAATATTCAAAATCTCATATAAACATTCTGATCAAAATAAGTTGAACGGATAAATGATGCTTATTGAAGCTTCTCTCACATTAATTTTCAAATAGAAAATTAAGATGTATTAATAATATATCATATGCAAAATAGTATGCCGCAACATGGGTTCTGTCATCAAACCTTGTTCTTGGGTTACAAAATGAAGAATTTTTTATTTGAACTTTTGGACTATTTTTCATGAAATCAGTGTAATAAATATGCTTTCCATTAACTTCTGTACTTTCCGCCATTGAAAACACTGGAATCCATGCCCTCAAATGCTAAAAGACCCAAAAAAGGCGTCTGCTTTGGCAAAAAAATAGTGCGGCGTTGCATTGGCGGTGGCTGTAAGACGCTGCTACTATGGCTTGAAAAGTGGGTCAGAAGTCCGGTTAACCTAATCTAACTCCATGAAGAAGAAGACTCCCTCACATGCAAAACAAAGTCATCCAAGGGCACCGCAAAATATTTTGGAAAATGGGCCGACGCATTTTTGGCCCAATTTTGTTGGGCCTCTGTCATTTAATTTAGTGGGAAAAAAAAGCAAAAAAAGAATCCTGAATTAACAAAATCACAAAATGTAAACATGAATAAGCTTAATTGCTTAGAGGAACTGAGTCTTAAGTTGCAATTATGAAATCAAACTAAAAGGATGAAAATGACCCTCTTTCTTCTCTTTCTTCTGTCATCATATCTCCTTCTCTTCATCTTTCTTTCCCTCTTTTCTCGATGAAGCTTAATTGGAGACTTCAACGTCTCCTAAAATTTTAACAGGTTTTCTTATTAGAATTTAAGTAGTTATCACTTTATTTCAGAAGCTAAGTTTTAAGCTTTACTTGTAGTTTACTGTTTGTTTCAATTTAACTGCATTTTTCATGTTATTCTTTCTCTCTCTTCGTGTATCAAGACAGCATCGATAGGTTGCAGCAAGCAAGCCAAGAAAAGGAGCCTGAGAGCTTGCAATTTTTTGGTACTGATATTATGAATCTTAAGCATCCTATATCCCATAAGGAAAAACAGGTTGATGAGAGCTCTGATGGTGGGAAGTTTATAATAAGGATAGAGGAAGAGGAAGGTATTGGCTCTACTGGGAGGCCAGATATGATTATTTGTGAAAGTGAAAGTGTTGAGGCGTTATTCATGAGAAATAATGGTTTGAATGCAGAACAGAAGAAATTAAATCGTATAGTCAAAGGAACTGAAAAGTAATTTTTATGACATATATATCATAAAAATTGCTTTTTTACACTGTGGTTCACTCACTTAGGGTTTGTTAGGGATAGAGATTAAAAACACTTATAAACATACTTCACGTAAACTAAGACAAAACTCTTTTCACATGCTCACCTAGTATTCTGTAAATCATGATTAAAAAGCTACTTATAAGCTGTTTTAAACAGATTCTTAAAACATTCAAGGACAGCGTCTGGCGGAATGGCGGATGCAATTTAACTGTGAGATTGATCAAAAGACTCAAAAGAGACTCACCCGATAGTTCCCATTATTCAAGCGAATTGAGACATGGGTTTTAGCATCCAATGAACATCTGGGAAGCCCAAAATCTGCAACCTGGTTAATTAATAAATATAGGGGAACACATTATTGTTTATTCTATGACAGACATTACGGATATATTCGAGTGTCATAGACATACTCAACCTGATTAATAGATATTACTTCCGCTCTTCTAAATATAAAATCTATTTTGTGATACAAGTTATATTATAAAATAAGTCTTATATTTAGGACTGAATGAGTACTTATATATTCATATTATTTCAAGTGCCGCATTGTATTTCAATGGATTCTTGCAGGAAAAACATTTGATGAATATTAATTACTTAATAGATTTATATAATAGGTCGAGTTGAGAAGACCTGCCTCTTGGTGGCTAACTCTCAACCAACCCTAGCGAAGAGTCTCCAATTAGTACTCCTTCCATCATTTTTTATAAGAAACAACTATGATTTTTATCTTGTCCCCATTTATAAAAAAACATTTGCAAGGTGTCTCAATTTTTTTTACTAGTTTCTTATTTTACCTCTATTAATTACTTATTTTAATACTCAATATATATTTATGATCTCATTTTTCGAAGCACATTCATTCATTTCCTCATTCTCTCTCTCTCCCTATAAATAAGAGTATTTTTTAGGGGAAAAAACTTACAATTTTTACATGCATATTATTTTTAACTAATTTTAACTAATTAATTTTTTGAACCACGTGATTTGGTCAAATATTTTTAATAAAAAGAGATGAAAGTAGTGATTGCACAAGTTTAAAGGGATTTTTTACGTATAGTTGATTGATTTTAATGTCGATAAGGAACTAATTAATTGAAAGAACTAGTATTGCTCCTAATTCCAATTTCTAGAGAACGTCTTGACATTACACTTTTCTTGCATGATTACTAAATTCACTAGAACCTATAAACATTAGAATTAATTTTGCACCTAATTTTTAGGGAAGAACAATTCATATATTGCACTACCATCTTCAAGTACGTTGTAGCTTAAAAAATTTTATTTTGAATCAATGACCGGTTAAACGGTCGATCAGGGTCAGTTAAAGAGGATGAATTCAATGGCATTTGTGTTATTTCACAGGAAAAGTTAATTGCAATCAAGTCATCACAAGAGTAGACTTTTTGTTTCCCAAATTTGTGGGAATGTAAGTTGTAATCTCTAGAATTTCATGTCATTTCAGTACTCTTTCTTTAAGTTTTATGCACTCTAAGATAGAGATATATTTGTTCATATTTTGGCATTTTTCCTTGTTATTTTTGAGCTTATAAAGTTTGTCACTTTTGCAAGGTTATTTTGGTCTTGGTCTAAGAATTAAAGTTTCAAGCCATTTGGAAGCACCTCAGAAGGAATTAAAGATCAAGGTTTCTTAAGAATTATATTATGGTGATCAAAGAACAACAAATAGAAGACAAAGCATAGGGAGAACTCCTCATTTGAGCTAGAAGTACAAAACTTTCCAGAGGCAAAATGAGCTCGGCGCACTCTAACCTGGCTGCGGCTCAATTGAAATAGAGGAAAACTTGGCCGTAGCACAAAACTTTTAGGCCGTGGCGCAATCGTTGACAGCAAAACGCATAGCTCAACTAAGTTCAAAAATTTTAGGTTTTAAGCCCTCAAACTCAACTTTGGCCATCATTCTTCAGTTCTGGGTGGTTCTTAGAAGTCTTTGGCTATGCTAGGGCTTGCTTCTTGGAGGAGATTGAGCTAGGAGTTGGAGCTTTGAAGAGATTTGGGCTTCTTTCTTGGTTTTTTCTTTCCATCTTGCTTTCTCTACTCTTGTTCCATTTTGTGCTGATGTATACATATATTCTTGTGGATTTTCTGAGTATGTGTGGCTAAATACTTTGATTCTAGGATTATTTTGAACTCTTGTATGGATTAAGTACTCATTTCCCCTATGTCTTTGTGATTAATGATATGATTGTGTTGATTTTACTCCATGCTTAGTGCTTCTTGTTGATTGGCTACCAATGAGGTTGTTAGGTTCACTTGATTGATGCTTGAGAGGGCTAGGTTGAGTGTAGAATTTAGGTTTAATTGTGTGAGAACTTGAAATTTGCAAGTTGGATGGATGGTTTTGTTAATGAGATAGAGATATACTCATGAACCTCACATCGTCATATAAGGTTTGTAATTAAAATTAGCGCTTAATTAATTAAGAGATTAAGGAATTAATTAAGCTAAACACCTATTTGGAGACTTGAGAGAGCACTTATAGGTAATTTAGTATCCTTGGCTAGCATAATCTATAATTAAGAAGCAAATACAATGAGGATTTAATTGAGTACTTTTGAAATATAAGATGAATAAATAATCCTAGGTCCCTTTGAATCATCGGAATTGATGAATCACTTTTTTTTTTAATTTTTAATTTTACAAATAGTTCCTTTCACTCTTGATATTTGTATTACTCAAATTAAGTGAAAGTATGATAATCAATACTTAACCGGGTTTTAAAACTAAATCCTCGTGGGAACGATACTCTACTTATCACTTTATTACTTGTGACGACCCGTGTACTTGCGATGCGAACATAAGTCTCATATATTTGGGACTTATTCACAAACTTTCCTTTAAATAATTGCAAAGGTGACCATATTCCTTGATGGTTATATTCAGATATTATTATCAGTCTAGTGGGCATCCTCTGTTTCCTTAAACGTAATAATTTACCAAATAGTTATTTAATTTATGACAAATCCGCATATATATATTAATTAATTAATTCATTAAAAAAATAATTCCAATACAACATTCAGCTTACGGAAGTTCAAGGAAATTACCATAATCCAAACAAAGAGATATTTCACAATTTAAATTCATAGTTATGTGGATATTTTGGAGCCGTCGACCAGAACTAATCCTCGAGGGGGCGAAATTGATCAGATGGGACCGGCGTGCTCCTTGTTCCTGCTACCATCCTTCTCAACGTCTCCGCGTATGCTTCCCGTTGATGTAGTGCGGCGGGGTCCTCCGTCAAATCATTATCCAGGGAAATCACTCCTTCTAAAGCTTTACCCACCTGCTAGATATTATTATTACTACATCTTGTATTTAATATACAACCTAATTAACTAATTTACGTAGATTAAAAAATTAGTTAAATTAATTATTTGTAATAAATATGTTAACTTTACAGAAGATTTTAATTTTTAACCGTACCAAACTCCATTGTCATATTAATTTTATTCCCTCCCATGCTACTTTTATAATATGGTATAAATGGAAAACATATTTATACTCCTTGAAACTAAACAAATACCTTGTAAAAAGGATGAAGACTACCTTCTAAATGATAACTATGTGTAAGTTATCCCTATTAGAGATCAAAAGGGATTTGAGGTTCACTACTCCCAATCCCATAACTATGGTGATACGTATTTATACATTTAAGTCATCCACTACCTACTGCTCTGTATATGGTAGGATTGGATATTTACTTTGGTTTAATGATTTTCATACACGATTTGTTTTACATTAACGACTCCCTTATATATATTATCATACTTTTTTTGTAAAAAAATTAATTTCATAAGAGAATCCAATCCTAATAAATTTCTTTAAAAGGGAAACAAAAATCTTATAATTTATGTGCACTAACCTCGCTCATTCGAGGACGACGCTCAGCTGAATGGCGAACGCAATTAGCAGCACAAGAAACCATTCGAAACATCTCTGCCGGGTCGTACTTTCCCTGCAACCTTGCATCAGCAAGTTCCTCAAAGTTTCTGTTTCTCAAAGCTTCCGACAACAACGTCGTCGCCTGTGATTTTTAACGTATATATGCAAGTATCAGTCCGCTACAGTTATCACTCTTCTATCAATGAAGTCATCAAAACAAACAAATTAAAAGAAGCATAAAGTAGCATCATGTTACTCCTCCAATCCTAGATACAAGACCCCTTTATACTATAAAAAGGGTATTATACTTAGAATCGGAGGAGTATTTTCTATATGCATCCATAAATAAGATCACGCTGTTGGATGTAGTTAGGAAATAAAATAATTTATCTATCAAAGAACATATAACAGTACAGACCCACTCATACAAACTTCCTTGCTGGTACTTCTCAGGATCATTAACAGGTTGTCGTCCTGTAATAAGCTCTAAAAGCACAATGCCAAAGGAGAATATATCTGACTTCTCAGAGTAATTGCCGCTCATAGCAAATTCTGGAGCAATGTACCTGTGCTCAATGAAATTTCAGAATTTCATAAATATTGAAATAAGCACTACTGAATATACATCCAGTGCGAATCCATGTACTTATAATTAATAGTGAGAATAGTAATGGCAAAAAAAAATTTAATAGTGAGAATAAAAGATTAAGACTGACCCCTTAGTTCCCATTACTCGAGTCATGATACAGGCCTCTAATGGCAATCTGGCGAGTCCAAAATCTGCAACCTGATAAATATATATAGATAGAAGCACATATTAATTTGTCATCGATATTAGATATATTGATATTTGAACCGATTCTAATTTAGAGCAGGAAAAATATATGATAAATAGAAAGTCAACTAATTTGACTTAGTTGATGTGCCTTGTTAAAGATGGGGTTTAATGATAGAGAGAGTAGTGGGAACTCTCACAATTTTCTCCTTGTTAAGTCAACATCAAAATTTGTTTTTAAGTATAAAGGAAAAATTAATCATTTGGCCCACATAGATCTAACTCAGCTAAAATTTAATTTTTAAACTTTGACTCAAAAATTTCAATCCTTAGAATTTTCTATTTCATTAAAACTTAGCCCTTAAACTTTAGCTCGATGTAATCCATTCCTTATAGTTGTACCAGTACCTATATTAACAAGAAAAGAAGAACTAAAGCTATTTCTTGAATTCTTGGAGCCAATGTTTTAAACTGCTAAAATAATAAGGATTGAGTTGCTTTACGCCAAAATTTAGAGACCGAATAATTTTAATCAAGTCAAAACTATAAGAATTAAATCATATTCAATTAGGGTGTTGTTCACCAAATAACTTGACCGCAAGTGGATGGGTCGCAAGTAATATAAAAAGTATCGTTCCCTCAGAGACTAAGGCTAGATGAGTTGAAAAATCATAATTGTGTATTTGATTAGGTTAAGTGAAACAATTGTTGTAAAAGAGTTTGTGAAATGAAAGTTAAGAAAACAATGGTTTAAAGCAGTATAAAATCAAATCGACCTTGAAACAATTAAGAGACTAGGGTTATTCTTCACTAAAGTACTTCATGAAACTGGATTAATTACTTCTCAAGTAGTGCTTTACAATAAGTTCAATTAGCCTGGGTTTATAGAATTGATTAAGCTTTCTCAAGTCAAAACCAAATGTTGCAAACACAATTAAAACACAGCAATCTCTTGCATTTGTTTGAAAAGGTTGCTCTTTAAAAACCAAAACCCATTTAGTCTATGCTAGGTCAACAGATACATCTCTGATCAATCGACAAACCATCTATTCACTCAAATAAATTTCTGGACTAGCATGTTTTTATCAAAGTTCATGAATTAGTTTAACTTTCTCAAGTTAAACTAATCAATCAATCAATCCAAATGATGGCCAGACAAAAGGAAGCATTAAGCTCAAAGTAAAAACAACTGAATATTATCATTAACACTCAAGAGATCGTAAAACCAAGTCTCAATCCATACAATAGATCAAAATAACCCTAGAAAAACGGATTTAGCTATACATATCGAGTAAAGAACTATAACTATAAAAGTATCTAGTAGTCATAGCAGAAACAAGAAGGGAAGAAGAAGGAAACCCAGAAAATTCAAGATACAAGCTTTGAATCTCTTCTAGCTTCAAGCCCAAAGGTTCCAAGCCTCCAAAACTCCAAACCCTAGCAAAGCCAGCCTCCAAAATTGCTCCAAAAGTTGAACTACCCCAGAAAAACCGAGTCTCCACCTCTATATGCCCTAATTTTTTTAAGTTACAAAGTAAAACGCACAGCTGCGAAGGGCCAGGCACCGCGGCGGATTCCTTCAGTCGCCGCGGCGCCTTTTACAGAATGGCTTTCTTTTTGAGGTTCTGACACTGCGGCGCATTGGAGAATCGGCCGCGGCGGATTATACTGAATAGGTTCCTTCGAGACAGCTTGGGCGCCGCGGCGCCTTTTACAGAGGCGTGCTAATGCTTTTCTGTTTGATCCGCCGCAGTGGATTCTCCCAGAGGCTGCGGCGGCTGACTTCTTTCCAGCTTTTCTCCATTCTTTACTCTCCTCAGGCTTTGTTTCCTGCAAAATTGACTATCAAACCCCATAAAAGAGCGTTAAATCAGCTTAACTCAGTAGGAATTTTGAGAAGTTATCAGGTGTTTGAAAAAGGAAAGTCTTTCTATTAATTGAAAAGCTTAAGGTTTATTACAATGCAAAATACTTCGGTTAAATTTCTTATATTAATTGTGTTAAGTTCTCCGACCAAATATGGATATGTGTTCTAATCTTGTGTATGTGTTTATAATTAAATGCTAGTGAATACTAATAATGTTCAAAAATAGTACCCATGATGGTGTGTGATTGGAAAACTTGTCATAATAGATATAAAAAATTTGATATAAATATTGTCTTATTACAATTACTGGCTTTATGTAAATTTGCATATCTAGCTGGAAATTAATAAGCAATTGTACAAGACCTACCTTTGGCTCAAAATTATCATCAAGAAGAATGTTGTCCGCCTTGATGTCACGGTGTATGATTGGAGGATGACTTGAATAAACAATAATAATATTGGATTGAAAGAAGCAAATATCGTAAGAGTAACGCATAGTGAACCAAATTATCTACAGTGGCAGGTCAAGAAAAGTTACAGTCTTCATGCAGATATTTCAATCCTTGAGCAGAGCCAACAGCAATTTTCATCCTTGTTTCCCAGTCTACATGTGTTGTGCCTTCTCCTGAATTTGCATACATAAATATTTTCTCTAACCATACATGATACTTTCATATTCAACGGTTCTAAACCGTTAAATATGAATAAAAATAATCATCAAATATCAATAATTATGCAGTAGCGAACGCTGAGAGATTTTTCCTAGTAGACAGAGAAATGTAGAGCATTGGAATAGGCTACAAATCTTACCATGCAGGTGGTGCGCTAGGGTTCTATTTGGGACATACTCATAAACAAGCATCACCTTTTTGTGAACTTCATCAACGCAGTATCCAGCAAGTGAAACAAGATGTTTGCGATGGATTCGACTAATGATCACGGCCTCAGACTGGAAATCCCTCTTTGCCTCTTCCATTGTAGATTCAAGCTGCTTAATGGCAACACTTTTATTATTCTTACTGGGGTGGACTCCTTTATGGACAATGCCAAAACCACCTTCGCCCAGAAAATTTGACCTTGAGAATCCATCTGTTGCCAATTTTAATTCTTGATATGTAAACGTTTGAGGTCCTAATACAAGGCCAGAAGTAGTTCGTGACACTGGACTTGAAACTACTTCAACTTTACCTGATCACAAGTAGAGCTGGCATCAGTAATTCTTTCAACTATGTTACATTGTATATTATTGTTATCTGTTAATTTCTCTTAAAATTTTTATAATATATTTTTTTTATTGCATTGCTGTATTCCCCTGCTTATTTTGAGGCGTACATAGATCATGAATTCAGGTTGAGTTAGAATTCTTTTTCTCATTCTTGGAAGATTTAGGCGAGCTACTGTTAAAATTATAATTATTCTTGTTAAACTTTATTAGCATAAAGTGAAATGGTTAAGTCATAAATATAAAGTTTGTGTATCCAATATCTCCCTGTTACATTATCAGAATGCTGAACTCGTATTATTGATTAATATCTAGTGGTGCTCACTGGGAACCAGTTTCAATACTCATCACTTTGATGAACATCCTAAACTCATCAAATCTAGACCGTCTGTATTTGATTTAAACGGTTTAGATTTAAAATCTTTAACTAATTATTTTTAAATAAAAAAAATATTTTTTGAAAAAATGACAGTTAAGAGATTATTTCTATATTAGATTTTATACATATTAAAATAATTATGTTAAATAAATAAAAATAAAAGATAAATTAAATTCGGATCATCCAAATAAGATATGGATAATTTAGATCTGATGAGATTAGGGTGCTCGTCAAATGATGATTACCGAATTTATGAAGCAGCAGCGAGCAAGGAATCTCTGGTATATAGCAAGACTCGTTGACTCCACGTTGACTGTCTCTGTCGTTGTGGCTGGATGCATTTAATTATTGAGATCGATTGCTTTAGAATTTTCTAGACCCATGATCCACGTCTGAGCTGGCCAAGACTCAGAAATAAATTAAAGTCAATTAATATCTATTTCTTACAACGTTAATATCTGGTTCACGACGAAATTAATTCCTCTTGTTTTTATTGTGGCTGCTACGAGGGTTTTGTTTTGAAGAAATGAAAAACTTCATATATTCTCTCATTTTCTTATTAGCACTCACTGGTCAACATCCTAAAGTAATCTTTTGTGTAGCATTTTACTGATCTTAAAGAATCTTTTAAGTTAATTTTTTTTAATTACCTTTTTTTTCATAATTTCAGTATTTATCTTCTATATTTTCACTAACTAGATCTTATGATCCAAATGACAGTTTTGGGTTTTCCTCTGGCAATTAAAAACAAAAAAAGAATTTGGGCGCACGAATTAACGCGTGAAATGGTTTGGATTGAACCGCACAAAAAAGCGAGTGGGGGTCCTGAGTCCTGACATTATGATGAAAATGCTTGTAAATACGCATGTAAAGTCTGCAAAAATTAGGGAGATTATCCACCTGTATATCTGACAGGTGTGAATCTTAAATTTAGACAGATGACTTTTGAATCCATATATAAAACCAAAAAAGTGTGACTTTAATTTTAAATACGAATGTATATGAAAAAAAATTATTTAATACTCATTGAAATTATTAAATATCTAATAAAAACATTAAAAATATTTTTTTAAAAAAATTCCGTATAATAAGGATTAAAGGGAGTACCTTTTTTCTTCCTCCATCATTATTGTGAAATGAAGATAAATTTTTTAAGTTTTAAGAATATAATGGAGTACGAAAAATTAACATCATGGACTTTATAGTTTCAATGGCTTTTGATTTTAAAGTTTGTTTTTAGATTAGTACATTTCATATTATTTTAAGAGAGGAATAAGGACTTTGTCAAAGTCAGCTGAAGACTGGCTAACTGTGGAGTTATCAATACTATAGCTGGACCATGGAAGAGTTTGTATTTATGAGTATGAATTACTGTTCTTATGGACCCTCGCCCTCATACTTCGGTTCTAAATATAAGACCCTTTTTATAGTATAATTTACATTACAAAAAGGTTGTTATATTTAGGATAGAAGGAGTATAATGTTTTGGGCAAGGCGGAGGCGGTGAGTCTGAGTAAGGCGGAGGTGGGGGCTCTGGCTCGTAATCTTGGAGTCTGTATTAGGGGAGAGTTGTATCGGGGGACGGTGGATCGATCGACGTCAAAGAGTTGCGGCTTCTTAGTGCAAGTGTGAGGCGCCTGTATCAGGCGCAAGCGCAGACGGAGACGGAGACGGAGGCGGCCAGTTGGAGGAGCCTGTATCAGGCGGAGTCGCAGGCGCAGGCGGCGAGTTTGGGTAATCCTGGAGTCTGTAGTAGGGGAGAGGTGTATCCAGAGACGGTGGATGCATCGCCTGCGAAGAGTTGTGGCTTCTTCGTGCAAGTCCGTCTTTACGAAGCAGCAGCGAGCAAGGAATCTCATGGTGTATAGCAAGATTCATTGACTCCATGTTGACTCTGTCTCAGTCAAAATTATGGAATATTAATTAAATTTGCTTAATTCCACGGTTACAACCGTCGGATCCTGGCTGGAGGCATCCAATTAGTGAGATCGATTGCTTTAGAATTTTCTTCACCCATGATCCCCGTCTAAGCTGGCCAAACGTGCCCTTCAAGGGAGAATCAAGGAGGATTTTTTTTAATTATCCTTTTATTATTTTTTTTTTAATAGGCCCAGACAAAATGGGATGTTTATAATACCCTTGCTAATCACGTATTAATTAAAACTACTAATTGATTAATCTTTTAACATATGCAACTACTATAATAATTATTTTTTAAAAAATAGATAAATATGAGAGATAAAGTGAATTGGAGTATTATATTTTGAAGTAAATTGAAAGTCAAACTAGTTTTTATATTAAAAATTAAAAGTGATATCTATTTCTTACCAACGTTAATATTTGGTTCCCGGCAAAATTTCTCTTGTTTTTTATTGTGCTGTTACGAGTGTTTTGTTTTGAAGAAATGAGCAACTTAAAGTACTTTTTCATTTTCTTTTTTTTGGATTTCTCCTCCGGTATCCTAGGAAAATAGGCATCTTTCAGCCGTGACAACGTCCCCAGACTAATCCGGATCGAAGGCTTGCAAGGAACCTTTCGGTCGGCGCCCTCTGGCCCCTCAAGGTGCTGCATTCCCACAGCTCGAACTCGAGACCTGTGGTTAAGCTAGGACAGCCCCAGCCAGCTGACCTAACCCCTCGGGGTTACTTTTTCGTTTTCTTAATAGCACTCACTCACTCACCCACTGATGAGCGTCCTAATTAAAGTTATTTTTTTATGTAATATTTTACTGATCTTAAGGTATCTTTTGAGTCAATTTTTTTAACTACTCTCTTTTTTCATGATTTCAGTATCTGTCTTCTATAATTTCACTAACTAGATCTTATGATCGAAATGATAGTTTTGGGTCTTTCTCCCACAATTAATAAAAAAGTAAAATAGTTTGACTACTCTTCTAGTTTGTATTAATTACACAGACCTCTCTTTTATTTTAAAAACATACAGTTTGGTCCAATTAGTTAACACCGTTAAGAATATTCTAAAAATATTTTTTTAACTAAAATTTATATCAAAATAAAATTTATTGATTATTTTACTCCTCATTCTAATAATTTCCTAAATTATATTTTTAAAGTTACATCAATTTTATTCAGTTAAGGCAAACATAAAAGATTTGATTAAAAAATAAACTAATTTTATGATTTAAAGTAAAATACGAAAATTATAAAATCTTATGATTTAGATAAAAATTAATAAATTTTATACCATATTAAAAATTTTAAAGATAATTATTTTTTGATTTTATAAAAACATTTTTTGGAAAATATAAATGTCTCAATAATTATTTATTTAAAAAAGGGCATTTTGGTCAAAAAATAATTTAAAGTCAAACCTAACGGTCAACTAACAATTTGGATGGATGGAAATAAAATATTAAATATAAGAGGGAGGTTTGTGTAACATATGTTTTAGCTGTAAGGAAGATTTATGTTTTCAGAATTAAGGGAAAGTTTCTATAATTGAGATAAAATAAAAAGATAATCGGTGTATTTTACTCTTAATAAAAAGAATTTGGGCGCACGAATGAACGAGTGCGATGGGTTGGTTTGAACCGCACAAAAAAAGCGAATGGGAATCCTGACATTTAACCCCCAAAAACAATTAACAACTCAGGGACCAAGCACCGCTCAAATTTGAAAAATCATTATGGACATTTTTTTAAAAAAAATGTAATTATTAAAAAATCTCATAACAAGTTCACAACGTTCAATAACAAATTTCAATGCAAGAATATTACTTACTTGTTATTGAAGTTTTCAGAAAACAATGGAGTACAAAAAATTAACATCATGGACTTTATATTTTCAATGACTCCAATGAAAAACCCGATAAAAAAGAGTTTTGATTTTTTTAAGTACTTTTATATTAGTATATTGTAACGATCAAAAGACAGAGGAAACACGGTAGAATAATATGCTCATATACATAGATTCGAATGGATAATATTCGAATACGCAGAGGGAGAAAAGTCCAAAATCATTCCACACTCCTTCTGGTCTTCTTTGTGTTTTGTCTATATATATCTTCACTTTTGCCCGCCCTAAGCGCAAATTCATTGGTCCAATAATACTCTCTTGATTATCCAATTCTCTCAGCTTCCAGCCACACCCGTCCCCTTCATTCTTGGTTTTTATTTGACTAACCTCACTCCCACACCCAGCCCAGACATGGACCATTATGGGAGAAGAAAATTCCAACCTGTGTTTATTAATATCCCAGCTCTTCTCCCTCTTCTTTCTTTTATTTAATTTTACTTTTATTATCACTCCGTATTTTACTATCGATATCGTTCGACTAAAGTTTCCCGGGATAAAAAGCGGTTAAAATATGCACCCACTCTGGAACTGCCATCAACTCCGTTTATCACTTTCCAAAGCATATGCAAGAGTTCGCCGCGGCCTTGTGGGCTCACCTCCTCCCGATTATCCAGAGGAATCTTTTCTTCTAAAGCATCAACTACCTGCTGACGGCTTCATGCCATTAAATTTAATCTTTTATGTATATGGGTATTTTGGTTTAGAAAATCAATTCGCAAAATGGTCATCCTAGAAGTCACTGGGCGTCCTACCACAATATCACCCCAACAACGAGCTCGTAAATCTCAAATTCAGAGAGATATTCAAAATTTCCAAGTATAGGAAAGGAAATCAAGATTTTGTACTGATTAAGATGTATTAAGGATGGAAAGTCTTGATTTCAGACGAAGATATCAGAGACAGATGGGGTGACTACTTTAACAAGCTTTTCAACAATAGATTGGAAATGATTAGTGATATGGAAGAATTAACAACCCAAAAAGGTGAATAAAATTTATATCTTTGTTACAGAATTTAGGACGCAGGGGTAAAAAAGAGGCTGTATTAAGAACAAGGATAATGATATCTACTGTTATAGAGGCTTCGGGCTTCACTACTGTTAGAAATGTCCTAAGCAATTCAACTTCTTTTAGTTTTGAACAGAAAAAACACAGATTTTAAGAATTGGTTTGCTAACCTGGCTCCTTCGAGGACGAAGATTGGCTGAATCGCGCAGGCAATTTGCAGCACAAGAAACCATCCGAAACATCTCTTCAGAGTTGTACTTATTCTGCAACCTTGGATCAGCAAGAGCCTCAAAGTTTCGATCTTTTGAGTTCAAGGCTGTGAAGAGTTTAGGTCTTGCCTGTAATTGTAACATGTATCAGTGCAGAAATTTCAAGTATTCATTATTAGTTATCTAACATTTTGTTCAACATCATTTCTGTTAAAATTTGAAACAGCTGATAGACAAATAATTAAAGTTGGCATCTTGGACTAGTTATATTTCGTAACTAATCTGAAAACCATTAATGTAGCCCAAATCTCTTATCTAAGGTCAGCTCGTTCATCTTTAAACAATTTCGAAGAACATAGACTATACACTGGACAAAACACTGATGAACACTGCACACACCCAGTTAACGATGGCGCCATCTGCGAAAGGTCGACAAGGCTTTTCTCCCGTAATCAACTCCAAAAGCACAACACCAAAAGCGAAGACATCCGACTTCTCACTGATTTTCCCGCCAGCCAAACACTCTGGAGCTAAATATCTGTATCCCAACGATGGCGGAACCTTTGTATATTGAGATAAGATTCAAAAGAGGAGATTTTTAAAGATCATACGACTAAGACTTACCCAACGGTTCCTGCCACTTGTTGCAAAGACTGGTGGGTAACAGTGTCTGATAAAGGTTTTGCAAGTCCAAAGTCTGCTATCTGATAGAGAGATACAAGCACACGCACGTAATTATTCTGTTATAGATATAACATATATTGATATTCAAAGTGCCACGTTGAAATTCAAGATGAGCGAAGTCCAGTAACTTCGCAATTTGTTATATGGCAATTGAACGGATGCTTTGGTGCAGGAAAAACAATATGGAATTCCTCATAATAAAATTTACGAAATATGGAAACAAGATTGTGAGTTCAAACTTTTTTCAATGAAATTATTCCGTTGGAAAGCCATCTATTCAATTGCAATTCTATATTTTCCAAGGGCGTTCGCAAGGAAAGTGAGGTTTGTCTTCACTGAAATGTAAAGGCACAGGAACTTGCATTTGTGGATTCACGTAGTAATTGTAAAGTAACAAGAGAGACCTACCTTTGGCTGAAAATCATCAAGAAGAAGAATGTTAGCTGATTTGATGTCACGGTGTATGATTTTGGGATTACCTAAAACAAAACATCGATATTGGACCGAAAAAGAGAAATATTACAGGAGTAATAAAGTCTTTTAATAGTTACGACTTCAAAAGAGTACGACGAAATTAGTTATATAAAGTAATCTCACAGCCTTCATGAAGATATGTCAATCCTTTTGCGGAGCCAATAGCAATCTTCATCCTTGTTTGCCAGTCTATAGTTTCTGTGCCTGCACCTGAATGATTATATGTATCCATAGTATTTTACGACTTATACGTAAGATCAGGCAAGATATCAATTCCTCTAGAACAAAGCGCACAGGAAGCCAATACATGTAGTAACTCAAAATAACAATTTGCTGAGGTAAACAACTGAAGATTATTATCGCAATTATTCTGTGCAAATGTCTGCATTTATAGAGTGTGGCCCCTGTGCTATTTCTTCTTCTCGAGACTGGTTTGTAATTAAGCGACTTAATTAAGTCAAATATATCCAAATATATTCATGTTATAATCATTCCCTTGTAAAAGTGGGTCCATGTCTTACCATGCAGGTGGGAGTCTAGTGAATTATTTGGGATGTACTCATAAACAAGCATCATGACCTCCTTATGAGCTTCGTCTGGACCGATGTAGTATCCCACCAGGGAAACAATATGTCTGTGATGGGCCCGGCTAATGGTCTCAACTTCAGTGAGGAACTCCGGCTTTCCTTGTGTGGCATCAGGCTTTAGCTTCTTAATTGCAACAATTTTATTATTAGGTGGGAGGACTCCTTTATAGACGGTGCCAAAACCACCTTGGCCGAGTATATTTGACTCTGAGAATCCCCCTGTTGCGGAGCGTAATTCTTCATAATCTTTAAATTCTTTTGGTAAATGTGGGAATTCCAAGACTGTGGGAGGTGGTGAAGCTGCAAAGTGTGACAGGGAAGCGTAACAAATCTGTACCAAGTTAAACCCAATCATATGGGATGGGTGTAAATTTCTGCAAACAGTAATATTCCCCGAAGTAGTATTGCATTTATACTGTGTCACCATCAATGACAAGAAAATTTGAAGGAGAAGCAACCGATCATTTTGAATTTAATGTTACCTGGTGCTTGAGAAGGCCTTGTGGGGCTACTTGCTGGGTTCGGCTTCCTTGTTTAGTTTTTAATTTCTCAAAAGATGCAAATTAATTTCTTAATAATTATATTGTTTTACTTTAAAAACAGAACATGCTTCTTTTTCTTTTTCTTTTTCATGTTATCAACATTTAGTAATTTCTTCACGTAGATATAGGAAATCACTTTAAGAGGGGTCCATCAATGTTATTATATATTACTCCTCTGGTCCTAAATATCTTATATTTAGGACCAGAGGGAGTACTATAGATTAGAACAAGGATTTTTAGTGTGCCGTAAACAACAACTACTTAATCCCACTAAATATTGGATCTTGGGGTAGGTGATTGACAAGATATTTTGTTCATAGATGAACACTGAATCTTCAGTAATAAAGAAATTGAAACAGAAGACTGAAAAAAAAAAAGAAGAAGAAAAACAAAGTAATGGTCTGGAATATCTAATCTCAGAATATAAACCACATTACAATACCGCAAGCAGCGGCGGGGCTACGAGTGCATACCCATTTCCACACACTGAGTCCAACCTAACCCTATGCAATAATCATGTATCACAAGGCATTATCCTTAGGACATAAGGAGTTGTAAAAGTTTGTATACCAATTTCGTATGGATATCTAAAATGCTCCAAGAAGGAGACGAACGACAGGGGCTAATGAGTGGGTTAGGCTTCCTAAGCCTAACTTATTAAACTTAGTTTAAATATATGTTGAAAAGGTAACGAAAGAGTATACTAAATAGGGATAAAATAAGTAAAAATATATTTAATATTTAGACGAATGAAAAATATATCTTATAAAAAAAAACCAAACTATCAAAACTTTAGATCTTATAATAAGTAAGGAAGGGAGAGGAACTGAGGAAGTATCGGTTTACCCCTCCGTAATGGCATTATTTGCACGTAATTAAATAATCTTAAACAGTTTTTTATTTTTTAAAAAGAAATTGGATTTAAAATGACTAGCCCTGTAGGGCTCAAAAATAAAAGAGCCAACTCTTGTAAACCCACATATTTTTTATTATTATCAATATATTTATAAAGTTATGGATTAATCTTTTATGAACATGTTGTTAATCTTTAGCTGCTAGATTTTTATCTTTCTGTTTTTCCCGTTTCATTAGATTTTATTTTTTCTTTATTTTGGACAATAGTTTATTGGTATTTAATCTTTTTTTCTATACACCATTAGTTTATTTTACTAATATTTATAATTTGAATAAAAAAATTTAGAGGTTTTTTTTATTTTAAAATAATTGAAAAGAATTTAAATTTAAAAAAATAACTTAAAAGGGCCAACCTTTTTAAACTTTGAGTTTACATGTCCAAGGGCAGGTTTTAATAATTAAATAATTTTAAAGTATACGTGCTTTAAAGGGCCGGATCTTTTAGGCCCTAACCCTTCAAAAGCTAGGTTTTAGAATTGATCAGCCCTTGTTAACAGTTCTACTCACCGGTCACTACTAAAAAATATCTTCCCTTTTTTTTTTTTGGTCTACAGGAGCAGGGCCACCCTTTTAAGCCTTTTTAAGTGAAGGGCGGGGCTTGTATTTTAAGTCGTTCAAAGAGAAATTAGATTTAAAAGGGCTAGCAAAAATAAAAGAGCCAGCTCTTGTAAACCCACATTTTTTAAAATTATTTTCAATATATTTATAAAATTATGGATTAATCTTTTATGAAAAGGTTGTTAATCTTTAGCTACTAGATTTTTATCTTTTTGTTTTTCCCGTTTCATTTGATTTGATTTTATTTTTATTATGGACAATAGCTTATTGGTATTTAATCTTTTTTTCTATACACCATGAGTTTATTTTACTAATACTTATAATTTGAATAAAAAATTTTAGAAGTTTTTTGTTTTATTTTTTATTTTAAAATAATTGAAAAGAATTTAAATTTTAAAAAATAACTTAAAAGGGCCAACTTTTTTAAACCTTGAGTCTACATGTCCAAGAACAGGTTTTAATGATTAAATAATTTTAAGGTATACGGGTTTTAAAGGGTCAACTCTTTTAGGCCCTAGCCCTTCAAACACTAATTTTTTAGAATTGACCCGACCCTTATTAATAGCTCTACTCACCGGTCACTGCTAAAAAATAACTTCTTCTTTTTTTGTCTACAGGAGCGTTTTCAGAAGGCTTCATGTAGGCGTAAGGCGTCCTCGTACGTGGGTGTGTGAGCGCTTCAAAATCCTTTTGTAGATACCACTTACGCAATTTGGACCAAAAAACAAGATGCCATTTACGAAATATTCTTCTAGGTCATGTCCTTATTTTTTTTTTAAAAAAATTCATTTCCGAATAATAACACCAGCAAATGAAATACATCTGAGAACCAATTTTCAAATACTACAATAGAAGAACCAGATCAGACACCAATTTTAGGCAGAAAATCAGAACATCATTTCAGCAAAAATAGGTTAACATTATAACTTTCAAAATCCGAAATTAATATATTTATGTACGTATGGACACATCTGAAGAACAGAAAGAGGAAGGAAAACACACAGGTCTTATTGTTTAATTAATATTTTTTTTAAAAAATTTTTTCTCTCTAAGCAGAGAAAATCTAAACAATTGTTCATGCACGCATTTAGCAGTTTGATTCATTTATGGCTTCTCCATTATTTTTTCAACTTATTGTTTTCTTCGCTCTAACGCATACGAATATTCAGTGTCATCTAACTTCCCCAAGTTGATGATGGTAATTAAGAGAAAAGTAAATATGCTTATTGGGGATAATTTCTTAAAAACGGCATTGTCAAGGTAAAAAGTTAGGGTTGAGGTATATCTAGTACCCTGAAATATTTTTTTTGTGTGGATCTAGTACCTTTAAGTATTTTGTAATACATCTAACACTGCGTCCAGTGTCTTGAAGAATGTTTTTAGCCTTGATGTTGGATGCATTAAAAGATATTCATCACCTAAAAAAAATACTTTAACGTGTTGGATGTTTATTAAAAAATACCTCACATTACTAGATGCACCAAATAAAATATTTCAAAGTATTGGATGTATCACAAATACTTAAAAATGTTAGATGCACCTGAGAAAATACTTTAGGCTACTGGATAAACTTGAAATTTATGGAAGTTTGTATAATAATTTCGTATAAATGATCCAAGAAATTTATGTATGAAAGTTTGTATAATAATTTTTTATGAATGATCCGAGAAATTTATGTAAAATATATTACCTAATGATTGTGAAAGTAAAATTAAATAAATAAAACAAAGAGGAGGGTAGAGCAGATATTTTCATACGTGTTGTTTATTTTCACCCCACAACGCAAAAGAAGTTTATTACCTCCTGGTTGGTGTGGTTGTGCAGAGGGGTTGTCTCTTCCTCTCGTCCTTCTGTTCCTTCTCGCTCTCCAGATAAAGAAAACAGCACATAATAACCCCAGTATCAGCAACAAACCAAGCACAGAGAGTCCTGCGATTAGCAAGATTGGCGTAGACCCGGGGGATGCCAGAGGGGCAGGGGCAGGGGCAGCGGGAGCGGGAGGGGCAGGGGCAGGGGCGGGGGGGGGGGGGGGAGCGGGAGGACCGGGGGCGGAGGCAGCGACAGGGGCAGAGGTGGGGCGAGCGGCGAGGTTAGGGGCAGGGCCAGGGCCAGGGCCAGTGCCAGGGCCAGGGCCAGGGCCAGTGCCAGTGCCAGGGGCCAAATCTGGGGCAAGGCCCAACTCTGTCTGTGAAGGCGGCGGAGGCGGCGAGTTGTCCCAGGGGGGTGGGGCCTCTGGCTGGTAATCGTCGATTCTGTAACTGGGGAGAGGTGTACCCAGAGACGGTGGATGCATCGAGGCGAAGAGTTAGTTGTGGCTTTTTCCGTTCGAGTGCGTCTACTTGAGCTTTCTGAAGCAGAGAGCGAGCCAAGGCTCACGATCCACGTCTGAGCTGGCCAAGACTAGAAATAAATTAAAGTCAACTAATATCTATTTCTTACAACGTTAATATGTGGTTCACAACGAAATTAATTTCTCTTATTTTTTATTGTGGCTGCTACGAGGATTTTGTTTTGAAGAAATGAAAAACTTCATATATTTTCTCATTTTCTTAATAGCACTTGGCCAACATCCTAAAGTAATCTTTTGTGTAGTATTTTACTGATCTTAAAGCATCTTTTAAGTTAATTTTTTTAATTACCTTTTTTTCATAATTTCAGTATTTATCTTCTATATTTTCACTAACTAGATCTTATGATCCAAATGATAGTTTTGGGTCTTGGTAAAATACTTTGACTACCCTTCTAGTTTGTATCAATTACACAGACCTCTCCTTTATTTTAAAAACATACAATTTGGTCCAATTAGTTAATACCATTAGGAATATTCTAAAAATATTTTTTAACTAAAATGTATATCAAAATAAAATTTATTGATTATTTTACTCCTCATTCTAATAAATTCCTAAATTGTATTTTTAAAGTTACATCAATTTCATTTAGTTAAGGCAAATATAAAAGATTTGATTAAAAATAAACTAATTTTATGATTTAAAGTAAAATATGAAAATTATAAAATCTTATGATTTAGATCAAAATTAATAAATTTTATACCATATTAAAAACTTTAAAGATAATTATTTTTTGATCTTATAAAAATATTTTTTGGAAAATATAAATGTCTCAATAATTATTTATTTAAAAAGGGTATTTTGGTCAAAAAATAATTTAAAGTCAAATCTAACGGTCAACTAACAGTTTGGATGGATGAAAATAAAATCTTAAATATAAGAGGGATGTTTATGTAACATATGTTGTAATTGTAAAGCAAGTTTATATATGTTTTCAAAATCAAGGGGAGATTTCTATAATTGAGATAAAATAGAAAGGTAATTGGTGTATTTTACTCTTAATAAAAAAAATTGGGACGCACGAATGAACGCGTGCGATGGGTTGGTTTGAACCGCACAAAAAAAGCGAATGGGAATCCTAACATTTAACCCCCAAAAACAATTAACAACTCAGGGACCAAGCACCGCTCAAATTTGAAAAATCATCATGTACATTTAAAAAAAATGTAATTATTAAAAAATCTCATAACAAGTTCACAACGTTCAACAACAAATTTCAGTGCAAGAAATAACAACAAATTCATATTACTTACTTGTTATTGAAGTTTTAAGAAAATAATGGAGTACAAAAAATTAACATCATGGACTTTATAGCTTCAATGACTCCAATGAAAAACCCGATAAAAAAGAGTTTTGATTTTTCAAAGTAATTTTATATTAGTATATTACTCTCTTGATTATCCAATTCTCTCAGCTTCCAGCCATACCCGTCCCCTTCATTCTTGGTTTTTATTTCACTAACCCCACTCCCACACCCAGCCCAGACATGGACCATTATGGGAGAAGAAAATTCCAACCTGTGTTTATTAATATCCCAGCTCTTCTCCCTCTTCTTTTTTTTATTTAATTTTACTTTTATTATCACTCCGTATTTTTTTTTTTGAATGAAAACTGGATTCAAAAGAAACAAAAGTACAGCCAAGCTAAACGAGCTAACACTCGTCATCAAGCTCCTCCTCCTGTTGCATAAGAGGTGGAGGTTGATCTTATCACTCCGTATTTTACTATCGATATCGTTCGCCCAAAGTTTCCCGGAATAAAAAGCGGTTAAAATATGCACCCACTCTGGAACTGCCATCAACTCCGTTTCTCACTTTCCAAGGCATGTGCAAGAGTTCGCCGCGGCCTTGTAGGCTCGCCTGAGCTTTCTGAAGCAGCGGGCGAGCGCGATGATGTGCAGAATATTGAGAGCAGCAAGGGATCTCGTGTTATTGCAAGACTCCCGTTGACTCCACGTTGACTCACGAAATACCATTAATTAAATTTGCCCAATTGCACAATTACTCTTCTGATCCTATTTATAAGGCACTTCCAGCATGTTTCACACAGATCAAGAAAAACCTTAAACTTCATTAACTCTCATTTAAAATTTAATGACTTTCTAACTTTATCCCTATTTAATATATATTATACCTCATATAAACAAGTCAACACAATAATAAATGAGGGGTGAAATTGTATATCCATACAAAAAATTCTTTCAGTGCCCTATAAATAGGACCAAAAAATACATTCTCTCTCTGCCCTATAAATAGGACCAGAGGAGTATGTTAGCTTAGACGCTGGTGGAGGCATTTAATTGGTGACATTGATTGGTTTTGAATTTTCTTCACCTATACGATCCATGTCCCAATACCTCAGTGCTGACGACAACCAAGAAATAAAGTCAATGTCTATTTCTTACGACGTTAAGATTTGAGAACCTGACAACTCCTAAAATATATCCCTCTTTAACATGAGAACTAATTATACTTGTTTTCTTAAATTTATAATGTTTTCTTTAAAATATCCCTATTAATTATTCTAAACTCTTATATAATTCTTGTTGAAAAGATAGAAAGACGAAAAAGATGATAATGATTTGTAAATATAGAAGGAAATAAAATTTTAATAAGGATAAACTTGAAATTTTTTTATCAACTTAACACATATTTAATGACTTAATTATCATTCATTGATATGTGAGAATTCATTGAAAAGGACTTAGAATGGGACTCCTTCCACGACTTATAATAAGAAACAATTATTAAAATCACGCAGTCCAAAATATTAGTTAAATTTAGTTAAAAACAGTAAATATGTATGATATATATACAGATTTTTTTTTTCAATTATACCCTTATTTTTAAAGAGAGTACATGAGAGATAATGAGTGAAAGTTAATCACAGAGAGCTAATAAGTAGTACACATTTAATAGGGATAAACATGAAAAGACTATAGTTTAAAATTTCATATAAAGTTTAACATATGAATTCACCATGGGAGACTATTTTGGGAGAAAATATGAGAGACAAAATAAATTAGAGTCTTATATTTAAAATCAAATTGAATCTTTAACTAGTATTTATATTTAGGATCAGAAGTAGAATTTACTAAGCATATCATCATCACCTGGTTCGGACCACCTTAATAAACACTTTTTGCAAACAGTACTGCAAACTCTACTGAGGCTTGATTAAACCAAAACCAGCACCCAATCAATCATTACTGAGTTGTGAGAAAATCACCGATACAATTCCCAGAAAAAAATACAACTACTTAAAAATTTTAGTAGTAATTGAGTGATATGGAACTATTATTGTTATTTATATTGTTGAAATTTGTCATGTTGCTTGCTTGTTATAAAACTTTTTGATAATTGCATCCCTTCTTGAAGGTCCCATAATAATTTTTCCTATAAAATTGAAGTCAAGCATGGTCCCAGGATTGTTAATTGTTGCTGGGGCTTTAATATCAGGACCCCATTTGCTTTTTGCGCGGTTCACACCACTGCACATGTCCCTTTTTTTTATATTTAATACTCCTCCTATTCTTAATATGAAATTTATTTAATTAATTTTATTAGATTAAAAAGTTAGGTAAGTTAGTTAATTATAAAAAATATGACATATTTTTTCTAAAATACCATAATCATCTTTCTTAATATTTTTTCTCCTTTGCTTATTTGATTATAGTTGAGGGAATATCCACATGGGTAATTTAAAAAATTGATAAATATGAGAAATATGTCTTATATTTAAGATCAAAATTAACTTAACAATAAGGTTGTATATTAAGAATCGGAAAAGTAAAAAATCTAAACCTACACACACATAAACATGTTAACTCTAAACTCAAGTTTAGAATCTAAAATCTAAGAGCCACGGCTAGCGGTACTATTCATATTGAATTCATGCACCCAACTGCTTTTTATTAATTGTGATGTTTCTTCTCTCTTATCATCTCAATATGATAAAAAAATTAAATTTTGAACTGCCCAAATTTCATCTCTTACAAAATTATGAATAAAATATTAAGTTTTCAAAAAAAAAAAATGAAACTGCTAAATTAAAGGCGTGGCAATTTAAAAAATAATAATAAAATTTTAGAAATTATTCTATAAAATATAAAATCTGAATTGTTCAAATTTTAATTTTAACGAATGAGATGAAAAATAGATAAAAAGAAAAGCGGAGAAACTCATTTCTCAAGGACAAGAAACAAGCGGAGCACAGGAGCGCCACATCTGCAAAACCGAGTTGGGCCAATTCGTTTCAGAAAAATGGATCTTTTAATTTAATTATAAATTATTTGATTAAAACAATTCCTTACTTTTATTTTGACTTGAAAATAATGGGCTGAATGAAAATATGAAATGAAGATACTAGCCCTTGACTTGACCTAACCTATAATTCCTGTGATAAATAAGATGAAAGTTATTTTCAATAAACAAAAAACCGAATTGGACACTAAACTGGTTTAGCTAGTGGTTCAAGGGTTAGTTGATTAGATCGAGATCAACTCGAGATCCAACCGGTCATATTAAAATAATATAATTTAATTAAAAAAATAAAATATAATAACATTAATAATCACTAATAACAAAATATAAGGATAATAGTTTAATTGTAACAATAATAAATTATAACAATATTGAGAATTTTGATCTTTATGATTAATCATTAACTAAAATTAATAATCATTGACACCAAAATTATCATTAAAATTCATTCAAGTCTATAGAGGCTGAGATATTAGAAGATAAATAAGAAAAAATAGGACCAATAATAACTTAATCATCCAAACCGGTTTATTACCAATTCATACCGGTTTAATTGGTTCTCTACAAGTTCTATTGCCTCCCAGTTCACCAGTTAAACCGGCCGATTGGGTCTGATTTTTTATTCACTGCTTATTTTTCCCTAAGCAAGTCACTTTGTCGGGTTTGGTCGTCTTCTCATATTA